TATTATGGTTTGATTTCATGTCTGACTATCACCTTTTAGTAACCAAATTTGCGATCCAGCAAAACCTTTTCTCTCTTACAAGGAGCTTGGGCTCTTATTTATTTCGCAACATTTATTTGTGCATGAGATGAACCATGACATTTAAACTATGCTTGATAGCTTAACAGATTATAAGAACAAAACCAGATGGCCCAAACAAAAATAATGCTTTGATTGCTTTCAAATTCAATGTCAAAAATTAAAAACAGCTTTCAAAAATCCTTGGCTTTTTTTCCAGAAATGACTTTGGATTATATATGCATATAAAATACATACACACACACACACACACACACGACTTTTCCCCCCCCAAAAACTAGAAGCTTATAAACCAAAAATTTAACAATGGTTATTTTGAGGTTGTGAAGTGTTTTCTCCTTTTTTTCTTTTCTATATCTCCCAATTTTCTACAATTACTTTTAGAATCAGAAAAACATTTTTAATGACTACTTTTAGTTTAATTTTAATCAAGTCTTTTCTAGGTTGAGTCAAGGTGTTTTCTTCTGTTGAGAAAATGGACATTGTTAAACATTAGCAGTTCATAATTCTTCTTCCATGCAAAATGATGAATAACGTGCAGTTACTTTTCACACTGTGTTTCGCCAGGCTGGAAAACTGAACCAGACCCAGATTCTTTAGAATTAAAGTAAATTCTACAAAAGCAGTTATTTCATTTTCTAACTCACTTTAATGTACCTTTGACATCATTAGTGTAATCGCAATCCTTACTTTCTTTGAGAGCAGTGAACCAACTAATTCTTTAAAACTCGGCTTGAAAAAGAACCTCAATTTAAAAAGGTTCCCAAACCTTGAAATAGTTTGCAGGCCAAAGTTAGAATGCGACTATTTGAATTTCTAAATTAAAGAGTTCACAAAGTGTTAGGATTCTTTTTTCCGGTCTTGTTTTAGAAAAGAATCTTTATTCCAACTCGGATTCATTTTTCTTCAAATCAGCTGCAAGAGAGCAAACAAACTTTGCTGCAAATCAAAGCCCTGACAGTTATATTTCCCTGAGATAATTGCATGTTGCTTTAGACTTTCCTTTTCCCCTCTGTTTCCTTTTGTTTTGACAACAAGATTCTGGGAAAACAATATACAAATGATAACTATGCTGTCATGAGTATACTGAATTTTAAAAATAAATAGCTGTCGACCCCAAAAGCTTCCAGGAGCCTATGGAGTGAGTTCTTTTTCCAAACCATTCCAAAACCAGATGTGGAAATGTTTAACTAATTCCCCTCCCCACTTCCCATGCAAAGAGTTCATATGTGTCTCTGACGACATCAGAGCAGATGGGGAGGCAAAAATCCTGTCTGCGTTCAAGGAGATTTGTGTTATACTTCTCAATTCACTCACCAACATCACAAAACAAATTTGGACTGAAGCTTTTGTCTCTTTTAAAAAGTTTTTTTCTTCCTAAGATGAAAAATTCTGTGTTTAGACCAATATCCAATCTCTTTCTTATAAGACATTAAGAAATAGTTTATATTCCCAGAATAAACTATTTCATGTTTTTTAAAAGTATTTATTAAGAAAGGCTTATTAAGAAGTTCTTGAAAAAAAAAACGAAGGAGAAACTCTGTTAAAGGAACTAATAGAAAATGTATATGCATAAACAACATTTAGAAAAAACAGAAAGTTACTGTACTCTGTAGCTGCTAGGAAAGCAAACATTTTGCATCCAGGTGTCATTAGCAGCTCTGGTTTTACTGGCCTCTCTATAGCTCAGTTCAGGATGGTATATACCAACAGCTGAGCCCTGCTTGGCTATACAAATGCATCTAAACTCATTGCTTCTGGAATGTCCCACGGATAATTTGCAATCAAATCAAAATGGAGCTATGGTAATGCAAACCCTGAGACCTGCTTTCTGACAGCCCAGCTGCTTCTTCCAGAAGCTGGACAATAGTCCCAAGGTGAGCTCTCCTTTATTTGTGTTTATTGCTTCCCCAGTTCTCAACTCCCCATAGCTCTGAAAATTTCTGGATACTTTAAGTAGGACTCTGTCCGCAGCTCTTGAAAAGCTGTGCACAGCCCCAACTATGGCTAAAAATATCTTCAGTTTGGTAA